CAAGGCATAAAACCATCTGCCCGCTTGTTTGCCTCAGCGGCAAGCAGAAAAGTATGCATGCCATTAATGAACTCGGGAGAGCATCCGTCATCATACATCCATTGTCGGCTCATCTTCATTACACAACACCGAATAGACCAAATTAATACAAGTTCATACATAAAGTTCATATACAGCACTTAATTAAATGCAACATACAAATAACTCTCTAGCTAAAGAATTTAAATGCAACAAAAAATGCGATGAACACCGCAACTAAGGTAACAATTGATCCAACAGCATAATGATACCAAGCCACACTATCAATGGCATATTTTCTAATCTTTCTAATCTTCAACCTCATTTTCTCCATCTTGATCTTGTGATCATCGACGACATCGGCAACATGCAACTCCAATTCCATCTTCTCCCCCTCAATTCTTTTCAATTTTTTTTTCAAATACTCGTTTTCTCTTTCAACTAAATTTAACCTCTCGACAATAGGGTCGGTTGGAATTTCTGGTTCACATACCTCCTAGATAAAAATATCTATGTCAACTTGATGGGCATAATTTGTCATAAACACGAAATGCAACAACTAGTTTTAAAAGAGAATATACCACATCCGAATCATAACAAGGACGAGGGCCGACGGGGACGGATATCAAAACCATGGCACTATGTATAATAAACAACGTACGGGTAAGATAATTATACGAGTAACTATATATCAAATCACACAAACATCAATTTGGTAATGTATAACATTCATGAACAAGAGCCTCACCACAAGGTGGTGCCGGCGACGGGACGGTGCGGGCGATCGACCGTGGTTACGACGGAGATTTAGAAGGCACTAAGTAAACCACACCTACATATGCAAACTAAGTGTTATTTTTGACCTCAAATTGCATATAAATAAAATACTAGCAAATATAATTCCTCCCAAATTAATCATTATACAAAGCATTGCAAGAGCTAATCTAGCAATGCGAGTTGAAAGGACAAAGTTGCTAACCTTTGTGATCATTTGAATGGATGGGGGCCTTCAAATCTTGACAAATTTTAGGCAAAATTTGTGAGGAGCTCGAGAAAGAGAGGGGAAGAACAGAGGAAGTGAGGGGAAAGGGGAAGAACAGAATGGCTCGGGTGGACGAAGGGTTTATGTACGTCGACCTTTAGTACCGGTTCGTGCCACGAACCGGTACTAAAGGTGCTAGAGGGGCCCCAGACTGACAACACCCTGCCATCACTCTCTTTAGTACCGGTTCGTGGCATGAACCGGTGCTAAAGGTTCGCCACGAATCGGTACTAATGAGAACGGCCGGCTAGCCGTTGCAACCGGCACTAATGGACACATTAGTGCCGGCTCAAAATCAAACCGGCACTAATGTGTCTCATATTAGGTCCTTTTTCTACTAGTGAGTGTTCTCTCGGATGTTAACCATCAAATAAAAGCAATACCATTGCAGATGCAAAACTATAATTTGAAGTGTAAATCCGCACTAAATTATCAGATGCATGCTGTTCAGGCATCAAACAAATACGTAGGCTTTGATTGATTGCTTTGCTGCATTAAAACTTGAGTTGAATATTGTTTTTGGGAGACTAGTAAAACTTAAATTGGCTCTTCAAACGTCAGAATGACTTGACTGAAGAAGTTTGCCTCTCTTGTGTGTACATATGCGGCTTTCAGTGACCAACTAGTTACTAGTTAGACTTGATTGCGCACTTCTAACTGGGTGGTTATGTTGACCTTTGAGAATGTAAGACGTTTTTGTGTGAGACTATCCACAGTGGAAGTCACATAGGTGATAACATCATACATATCTAGATAAAAATAGATGATATGACAAGCAATTAATAAAGAAAAAGAAGCATGTAGTAAGATAGCTAGTTACTAGTAGTATGAGTAACATCAGAGTAGCCACAATGGGGAGTAACTTAAGACTGTTAACTGGTGTAAGTACGGTGGAGCGGCTGATGGTATACAGATAGTAATATGCATCCATAGATCAGCAGGCACGCGTGCAACGACCATATGCCACTGCATACACTGATCTCTTATTCGAGTGCAACAATACTTGGGCCTAGCATTTATCGGTCAGCCACTGATGCAGTTGGCCTTGCAGTCGCTGTTGCATGCATCAGTGCACCGCGCGCGGGCCCTGTCCCAGCATTTGTGGCAGGAGTCGACCGCGTAGAAGGAGTAGACGCACTTCTCCTTACACTGGCGCATAGCACCGTCGTCGCAGGCATTGGCGCATACCCTGGGACAGTCGCACTCAGCGCAGTTCTTGGGGCAGCCCTTGTTGCAGCTGGGCAAGCAGACTCGGAGGACCTCGGACTTGCAGGGCTCGCAGTCCGGCGTCGCGCCGCTGCAGGCATTTCCGCAGCCCGCCGCGGCAACGTAGGCATCGCAAATCGACGCCGGCTGACACCGTGAGTAACAATCCTGGCACAGTATCACGGGCGCCGGAGCCGGGGCCGGAGCCAGCGCTGGAGCTGGAGCGGGAGCGGGAGCCGGAGCTCGAGCCTTCCGACATGCTAAGGATGGCAGGACCAAAACGGCCAAAACGGCGGCGAGTAGGATGGCCATCCTAAATGCGGATGCATGTGAAGCCATTGCTGGAGGTAAGAGGTTAAGGTACCTAAGATTAAGACGCGGCTCTTAATTGGTGTAAGTACCATGGAGAGGGCGATGCTGTTTATATGCGCATCACGCCTCACACTGAGAAGACCCAGCTAAGCTAGATTCGCAGTGCATAGGAAGGAGACCCAGCTAAGCTAGATTCGGAGTTACGAGGGGAGACTTGCAATGCATAGATCTCGATCCGCATCCTGAATGCCACACGATACGCACGAATTACGAAGGGAGACTTGCACGTTACCATGCACGTTACAAGGTTGACATGGAGGGAACAGAGTACTATATAGTACTCCCTAGTTATTTTCTTGACCAGTTCCATTCCTCCCATATACTACATTCATGCATGTTGACCAACATATAAATGATACTGGCATCCAAAGCAAAACAAAATACTGTCATTTCAACAGATAATGACATGCTGAAATAGTAGCCAAGTGAAAATAGATAATTTTTTATTCATTTCGCGCACGATGCTTTATTAGAGACTATGAAACCATTAGAGTACCTCCTACAGATGATGTATAATAGGGTAAAGCAGCATTTAAAAAAAACGTTCTCTAGTAGTCGATGTATCTGCAAATTCTGATGTAATTTTTTTTTAGGGAAGATCAATATTTTGGCCCCAAGTGCTACAAATATAGAGCAGCCACGCGACTGGTGCAATTTTTTAGGGAAGCGAGGGACAACAAGAAAATGGCCGTTTTACATCACTTTGTGCCAAAAATGTTGTGTCCAATTGTTAAGTATATGCAAAAACATAGCCATGATGTATTTTAGGATACTACTTTTACATCATCTCATCTGTCACGGCAGAAAAAATATTGCCAGAACCTTCTCTCTCCTGCCATATTTTTTTTTGGACGCTCTGTTTTGCGTCTCTTGGAGGTGCTCTTATGGAAACGGCATCCCCAACGCTAGCTCCCAAAACGGACATCATAATTGTCCGCAGACACGAATATGGGAGTCAGCCATCCAACCATGTCCCCTAAATGCCTGCTCCTATTTTTTTCTTAAAGTCCGCAACTCTGAAAATAATTATAGAAATAACACAATTCATTTATAAATAATATACAAATATCCCTAGTTAGTTTAAATATAAATATTATATCCTACATAGCAGGATGTTTAACAAGTTTTCAGATTCATCGACTCGAATTCAATGATATTCAAGTTAGAATCGTCGGATATCGTCCCACGCACCGTGCCCCTTGAGCTTAATTCAACAATGTATGAACGTAAATGGTCTCCCCTCCATCCAGTCTCTACAACGTGATGATTATCAAGTTGCACACATCGAGTGAATCAATGAATTTACCAACATGTCGAGCAACAAGAAGCAAACCTTATGGTCTCTATGGTTGACGAGTCCAATGGCCACATTATCTCCACTTGTGCAACCACACCACAAATTAAACTCCGTGACGAAGTTGGAGATGGTGTACCACAGATGGCCTAGAGACTTCACATGCGATCATGGATCACGTGCAAGTCATAGGCGCGAAGTGCTTTTGGTCATGATACAAAGAATGCAATTTTTGCCAAAACGTCGAGTCCCCTTCCCTCGTGCCTACAAAGTTCGCAAATGCGACCTTCCACGCACCAAGCAACAACAAGAAGGTCAAAAAAGGTCAATGGAAATTGACGGAACATCTACTCGGCGTGGTATCCGCCATTGATGGCGTCGGTAGAGCGCAGGCGGTACCTGGATGTGGACGGATCCTAGGTGGAAGGCGGCGTAGTCCAAGGCGGGTAGACGCGTGGGTGGAGAATGCAGACATCCAACAATGCCTTGGCGGTGGCCAGAGAGGTGCAACGACGGCGTCAGATAAGGAGGGTGTGGATGTAGAGCAAAGGAGGGAGCAACGATTGAGTGGAAGAAAAATGGCTTGGTAGGGGAATTTGACTAGGTCGGGGTGCCGGAGTCCTACATGCCAAAGGTCCGGACTCCAGCAAAGTTTGCGTCCGGTTTGTGGAATTCGGACAAGCGGACACCTCCATGGATAGATGAGTTACCACGTTGAATGGCAAAATACATCGGACAGCTTGGTCCGGACATATATGGCCATTTTGAGGGTCCGCGTTAAAGATGCCTTAACTCAGAATCCATTGACTTACTGAGATAGATGGTTCTTTGCTTTATCGACAGAAAAGCAGCAGGATACACCTGCATTTACCATATGCCATTCACGGAGGTATACAGATAGTAATACGGATTAATAGTGTAATAGTACGTACTAGTACATCTATAGATGCACAAAGCAGCAGGCATACGTGTGCAATGATCATATACCGCTGCATGCACTCATATCTTATTCATATGCGTAGTTGGAGTACAACACCACCTTACACTTGGGCCCACTAGGATTATCGATTAGCCGCTGACACAGTTGGCTTTGCAGCCGGTGTTGCAGGCATCGGTGCACCGCGTGCGGGCACTGTCTTGGCATTCGTGGCAATACTTGACCGCGTAGTAGGAGTAGTCGCACTTGCTCTGACACGCGCGCTGGGTGGCGTCGCCGCAGGATTTGCTGCATGGGCCGGTGCAGTCGCACTGGCCACCGCAGTTCCTGGAGCAGCCCTCGTTGCAGCTGGCTGTGCAGGACCGGAGGCCCTCGGTCATGCAGGGTTCGCAGTCCGGCGTCGCGCCGCTGCAGGCATTTCCGCATCCGGCCGCGGCAACGTAGGCGTCACACATCGACTTCGACTGACACTGCAAGTCACAATCCTGACATAATATTGCAGATGCCGGAGCCGGGGCCGGAGCCAGCGCCGGAGCTGGAGCTGAAGCCGGAGCGAGAGCCGGAGCAAGAGCCGGAGCTCGAGCATTCCGACAAGCTAAGGATGGCAGGACCAACGCGGCCAAAGCGGCGGTGAGTAGGATGGTCGCCCTGCAGGCAGATGCCGCATGTGAAGCCATTGCTGGAACTAAGAGATCAGGATGATATCTAAGATTAAGAGGCGACACTTAATTGGTGTAAGTACCATGGGGAGGACGATGCTATTTATATGCACGTCACGCCTCACACTGAGAAGACCCAGCTAAGCTAGATTCGCAGTGCATATGAGACCCAACAACAGTAGATTCGGAGTTAGATTCGCAATGCATAGATCTCGATCTGCATGGTGAATGCCACACGTTACGCACGAATTACGAGGGGAGACTTGCACGTTACCATGCATGTTACAAAGTTGACATGGAGGGAACAGAGTACATAATACTCCCTATTATTTTCTTGACCGGGTCCATTCCTGCATATGCATTCATGCATGTTGACCAAAATATAAATGCTACTGGCATCCAAAGCAAAACAAAATACTGTCATGTCCTTTTCTTTTTAGGTGAAAATATTGTCATTTCAACAGATGATAACAAGCTGGAATGGTAGCTAAGTGAAAATGGATAATTTTCTATTCATTTCGCGCACAATGCTTTACTAGAGACTGTGAAACCGTTAGAGTATCTCCAACAGAAGATGTATAATGGGGCAAAATAGCATTTTAGGGCATTTCAACCAAAACAACGTTCTCTAGTAGATGATGTATCTCAAAATTCTGATGCAATTTTTTCAGGGTAGACCAATATTTTGGGGAATATAGAGTAGCCACGCGACTGCCACATTTTTCTAGGGCAGCAGCGAGGGACCACAAGAAAATGGCCATTTTACATCACTTTACGCCGAGAACGTTGTATCCAATGGTTAAGTATATGCAAAACACAGCCGTGTTATATTTTAGGACACAACTTTTACATCATCTGCCACGACAGGAAAAAATTGGTGCCAAAATACCTTTCTCTCCTGCCCTAACTTTTTTGGACACCTATTTTGCATCTCTTGGAGATACTCTTATGGACTAACGGCATCACCAACACTGACTCCTAAAGCGGACACCATATTTGTGTGTGGACATGAATACGGGAGCCGGACATCCAACCCCATCCCATAAATGCTTGCTCCCTTTTTTCTTAAAGTCAGCAACACTTAAAATAATTATAGAAAATAGCAAAATCCGTCCATAAATAATATGAAATATTTCTACTACAACAACAGTTCAGATATAAATATTACATCCGACATAACAAGATATTTAACAAGTTCTTCGATTCATCGACTCCGAATTCAACGATACTCGAGTCAGAATCGGTACAGAACGTACTATGCCCCTTGAGCTTCATTCAAAAATGTGTGAACGTAAACATTGTGTCCTCGGTCCTGTAGTACAACATGGAAGCGTGTCCAGGCTATACAACGTGATGATTATCAAGCTACACACGTTGAGTGAATCAATGAATTTACCAACATGTAGTGCAACAAGAAGCAAAACGTATGATCTCCATGGTTGACGAGCCTGGTGGCCACATTGTCTCCACTTATGCAACCGCACCACAAATTTTCATGACGAAGTTGGAGATGGTGTACCACAGATGGCCTAGCGACTTCACATTGTGATCATGGATCACTTGCAAGTCGTAGGGCGAAAAGTGCTTTTGCTCCTGAAACGAAGAATGCAAATTTTGCCAAGACGTTGAGCCCCCTTGCCCCATGCCCGCAAAGTCTGCAAATATGACCTTCCACACACCAAGCAACAACTCATCCTCCATCATAGTGTACCCCACCATCATGCTTTGCTCTAGAAAAAACAAGAAGGTCAAAAAAAAAAACCTCAATGCCATTTGACCGAACACCTATCGGGCATGGTGTCTGCCATTGACGACATTGGTAGGGGGCTTAGGGAGGCTGGCTGTGGACGGATCCTAGGTGGACGGCGGTGTAGTCCAATGCGGGCAAACGCGTAGGTGGAGGATGCAGACGTCCAGCAATGCCTTGGCGGTGGCCGCAGAGATACAACGACGACTTCAAACGAGGAGGGTGTGTTGTAGAGCAAGGGGGGAGCAGCTCTAGAGTGGAATGAAAGTGGGCCGGGAGAGGGATTTGAGTGAACCAGGGGCGTCGGAATCCTACGTGGCGGAGGTCCGGACTCCCGCAAAGCTCCCTCAATTTGCGCCCGCTTGTGGAAATTCGGACAAGCAGACGCCTGCATAAATCGACGGAGTATCACATTGAATGGCAAACTACTTCACACAGGTTGGTCTGGACGTATATGGGCGTTTTGAGGGTCCGCGTTAAAGATGCCCTAACTCAGAATCCATTGACTTACTGAGATAGATTATTCCTTGCCTTATCGACAGAAAAGCAGCAGGTATACATGTGCAATGACCATATACCGCTGTGTGCACTGATACTTATTCGTATACATAGTTGGAGTACAACAAAAGTTGGGCCTACTAGGATTATGGATCAGCCGCTGACACAGTTGGCATTGCAGTCGGTGTTGCAGGCATCGGTGCACCGTGTGCGGGCACTGTGCTGGCATTCGTGGCATGATTTGACCGCGTAGTAGGAGTAGACGCACTTGTACTGACATGTACGCCGGGCGCCTTCGGCGCAGGCTTTGTTGCATGAGTCGGCGCAGTCGCACTGGCCAACGCAGTTCCTGGCGCAACCCTCGTTGCAGCTGCCCGTGCAGGACTGGAGGACCTCGGACATGCAGGGTTCGCAGTCTGGTGTCTCGCCGCTGCAGGAATTTCCGCATCCCGTCGCGGCAACGTAGGCATCACAGATCAAAGCTGACTGACACCAGGAGTCACAATCCTGAAACTGTATCATGGGTGCCGGAGCCGGGCCGGAGCCAGAGCCAGAGTCGGAGCCGGGCCGGAAGACAGAGCCGGAGCTGAAGCCGGGGCCGGAGTCGGGACGGGAGACAAAGCCGGAGCCGGGGCCGGAGGTCGAGCCTTCCGACATGCTAAGGATGGCAGGACCAACACGGCTAAAACGGCGGCGAGTAAGATGGTCGTCCTACAAGCAGATGCATAAGCCATTGCTGGAGCAAAGGATGGCGGCGAGTAGGATATATCTAATTAAGATTAAGACGCGACTTTTAATTGGTGCAAGATGGAGAGGACGATGCTATTTATAGGCACGTCACATCTCACACTTTTTTCTTTGAAGGTAGTCACGCCTTAAACATACTAAGTTAGATTCTTTTTATTCGCAAAAGAAGCTAGATTGGCGATGCATACATCTCGAGCTGCACCATGGGAGACTTGCACGTTACCATGCATGTTACAAAGTTGACATGGAGGGAGCAGAGTACAATATATATTATTTTCTTGACCGGGTCCATTCTTCCCATATACGGAGTACATCTATGCATGTTGACCAACGTATAAATGCTACCGACATTCAAAGCAAAACAAAATACTGTCATTTTAACAGATGATGACAGGCTGAAATGGTAGCTAAGTGAAAATGGCGGCATCCATTCACTAGTAGAAAAAGGGTTTTTTGTCCCGGTTTGTAAGGGCCTTCTGTCTCAGTTTTGGAACCGGGACTAAAAGGTTGTTACTAATGCCCTTGGCCTTTAGTCCCGGTTCTTACTCGAACCGGGACAGATGGGCCTCCACGTGGCCGCTCCGGTCAGCCCAGACAGGGGGGCCTTTGGTCCCGGTTGGTGACACCAATCGGGACCAATAGGCATCCACGCGTCAGCAGCTGGCTAGAGCTGAGGTTTTTTTTGAAAGGGTTGGTTTAGGGGTTTTGGGGGTTAATTTAGGTTGTTATTAGCTAGCTAATAGAGAAGTGTCCTCCCTTATATATCTTCGTGCTTGGTTTACCAACGCTACTGCTATTCCTAACGTTAACATGGCTTAGATTGAAGTGAAGGCAACATGTGGTGCATGTCGAAAGTAATACTAATCCTAACTTGATCAAGTTTGGATTGTACTACTTTCGACATGCACCACATGCATGTTGCCTTCAATCCAATTCATGTTCATTTCACCCGCTCGCATCATGCATCATCATATATAATAACAAGTCCTACTAATTAATCATCATCATACAACTTCTACTCGTTATTAATAACAAGTCATACGATCACCATCCTCATAGCCATCGAACCAACCCTACTTAATTGTTATTAGCACATGATCATCAGTATTAGGTATAAATATCCTCTTTAAGGTAAAATAGCATAAAATAATATAGACATTGACTCTCCATTATGGAGAATGGAGATCATCCTATCTCCAATTCTTGCGCTTCGCTTCCTTTTGCTTCCAAGAACCTCCTTACGACTGTCCATACATTTTTTCCATTCTTTGATTGTCATGTCTCCACTTCTTTTAGAAATCTGGTATGGACAATTGAGATTCGTAGGACGACCTGGTTGTATGTTCAAAATATCAAGGCGACCGTGCTGATACATCAGATGAGGCACACAATCATTCGGGATTATCTGTTGATACACATAGTAATAACTTCACAGTTAGCAATGATGTACTAGTTTTAGAAGTATGCAAAAGATGCACGGATGTCGTAATAGTAAAAAATATTACCAGGGTATCTCCATAGTAGTTACCGTAGTTCAACACGTGCACTAGGGCACGTATTAACCATAATGTTGAGAAGTTCGATTGTAGATATTGTAATTCTCAAGATCAGTACAAAATGCGATCAGATGATTTTTCTCCTTATAAGTTAATTCGGAGCTATCGGTGTAGTGGGCTTTGTCTACCATCTTCCGCTCATTCTTTGAAGAATGTAAATAAGCTGTCAATGTAAATAAGCTGTCAACTATTTTAAAATAAACAATATAAATTACTTAATAACTATGTTTGAGAAGTTCACATAAGTGAAGGATTGGAAGCGTATCAACAAGGACCTAAATGTCTATATTGTCTTTCTCGATTTTAGGATCACCAAGATCCATGGTGACAAGCATACCCTCATCAAAACCGTACATCTTGCAAAGTGCTTCCCAATTTTTACAACCAAAATGGGTTGCACTCTCAGAATTGTACAGCTTTACTTCAAAATGCACACCATGATGGGTCTTTAGGGGAATTTTCTTTGTTTC